CCCTATCAGCATGGAAAGGTTTTTCGGCGTCCGATTCTCGGCGTCGAGGCTTTCGGATCGCCGGTGTAGGGTTTGAGGGTTTAGGGGGTTTAGGGGTTTAGGGGTTTAGGGTTTAGGGTTTATAGGGGTTTGCGGTTTAGGGGTTTAGGGTTTAAGGAACCCCAAGTCCGATTTCGTGTACGTAGCGTCCTTTCAGAGTCCATGTACCATACACAAACACACACACACACACACACATATATATATATATATACACATGTACATACATATATACATATATGTATATATATAGAGAGATATACATCTTTAATTATTTATTTAGTATGAGAGAGAGAGAGAGTACGTCGCTTTCTGAGTATATATGTATACTTTGGCCCTCAAGTATTTATCTCGGGCCGATTTGAAGGCCAAAGTATGTACTATATGGGCACATGGTTTCGAAGCGCCGAGGTTCTGGCAACGGCGTGTACTCCGCTGTGAGCACGCGCTACACGCCTCCTGCCATCCCCCTTGGGTGAGGATCCACCAGGGTGTATCGTAAACATGTCGGGTCTAGGAGAGTCTAGTGCATGTCCTAGACCGGAGACCACAATAAAAAACTGAGAACTTATAGTATACAAACCCTTTTCTATGTATTAAGGCCGATTTTATATGGAAGGTACGATGCCTCCGAGCAGACGGCACCTAAAGCTTCCTGATACAAGAGATTTTGAGGCACGGTTTAGGATTCTGAGATTCAGAGTGCTTGGGCAGCTGGTCCCGATTTCCTAAGCCCCAAACCGGCGCCGAGGTCCTAGGTACGCCTTCGGGACATTGTGGATTTCCCCTTACACGGCCTAAGAGGATAGGGTTTAGGGTTTAGGGATCTTATTTACGAATCTTGTTCAAAGGCTTTCAAGAGCCAAGCTGGGGGCTAAGTTTCAGTGTTCAGGGTTGGGGCTTGTGGCGATCTAGTGTAGGTGTGTGTATTCTGCCGTACATCTGGCTGGTTGCAAAAATCACGGCTATACCTAGAGGGTTATAGCCTATTAATATTAGGGAACCTTGCTTTATGGTCAGCATCTGTTATATAGAAAAGTAGGTGCCCTCAAAAACGGGCTGGGGTATGACGCTATAGGTAGAGTCGTGGAGATAAAGGGAGGAAGTCAGCACCATTTGTGCTGTTTGTTTGGATGCCGGATCCTGCAAATCGCGCTGTGTGCGTATGTTGTATATACTAAGGCCATAAAGTAGTCCCTATATAGGGACTCCTTTAAGGCCTAAGTATCTACCAAAACATATAAGTACATGGTGGGCCTGCTTGGGGGCTCAAGGCTTGCGGAAGCACCGTAGTTGTAACATGAGAACCACCGCCACAATGGGGTATTTAGGGCTTATAGGGTTTAGTTTAGTTAGGATTGAGGACTTTAGGGTTTAAGGGCGATGAACCACTGCATAGCC